AACTATGTAATGTTTTGAACAGCCAACAATAAAAAATTAAAAAAAAAAAAAAAAGAACATGTTGAAGAAAAGGCTGCCTTTTTAACAAATGGTGCTGGGAAAAGCAGAAACTGGATATCCATATGTAGAAGAATCAAACCACATCTCGTATCTTTCACCTTGCACAAAAGTTGCCTCAATGCAGACCAAAGGCCAACAAATTAGACCAAAAACTTTGCAAGTGCTAGAAGAAAACATATGGCCAACACTCCAATACACTCATGTAGGCAATGACTTTCTCAACAAGACCCCTGAATAAAGCTCCAGAAACAAAACCAAGAGTCAATACATGGGACAGCACCAAGTTAAGAAGCTTCTGTATGGCAAAGAAAACGAGAGCACGAAGAGGAAGCCAACAGTGAGGAAAATATGCCAGCTACTCTGACAACAGGGGATTAATGTCCAAAATTTATAAAAACTCAAAAAACTTACCACAATAAAAGAAAGAAAAGAAAACCAAGCTTAAAAATAAAAACTAGAAAAAAATCCAATCAGTAAAAGGGCAAAAAATCTAAATAGATGTTTCTCAAAAGAAGAAACCAAATGGCCAACAAATATGTAGAAAAAATGTTCAACATCCTTCACAATCAGAAAAATGCAAATCAAAACTACACTGAGAACTCATTTTATTCCAGTTAGAATGGCAATCATCGGGAATACAAATAATTGCTGGCAAGGATTCAGAGGAAATGTACAATTATACATTGTTGGTAGAGCGGCAAATTAGTACAATCACTTTGGAAAGCTGTATGAAGATTCCTCAAGAGTACAGGAATGGAACCACCATGTGACAGCTATCCCACTTCTTGGTACTTATCACAAAGAACAAAAGTCAACTAACTACAGTGATACACACATATAAGTATTTATAGCAACAGATTTCACAGTAGCCAGGTTACAGAACCAGCCTAGTTACTTCTCAATAGATGAATGAACAAATAAAACGTGGTGTATATATACACAATGGAGTTTTACTCAGTCATAAAGAAGAACGGAATTATGTCATTTGTTGGTAAATGAATGAGACTGCTAAGGAAATGCTAGGTGAAATAAGCCAATCTCAGAAAGTCAAAGGTCAACTATTAGAACATGTAGAAGTGAGAGCAAGAGAGGGAGGGAGGGAGGGAAGGAAGGAGAAGGGGCGGGGAGACAGAATGTGCATGAATGATTGTACCATGATGGAACACATTTTTATATATGATTATAATGTTCCTTTAAAATACTAACAATAACAACAGAGGGAAGATGATTAGAGCAGAGCAATCAGATCATGAGGAAGACAGGCAGGAGGGAAGGGAATGTACTGGGGAATATGACTGATCAATGTACATGTACAAATATAGCATAATGAATTCCACTAGTATGCATAATCATAAGATATCAGCTTAAAAAGCATGACACATACAAGTATGGAAATGACAAACTGAAACTCTTTAATTTGGACAATTATGTGTTAATAATTATAATAATAATTTCTAAAATTTAAAATATTCTTTCATATATCTTTTCCAGAGCATCAAAACAACCTTGAATGCTGTGAAGAAATAAATGTTTGATTTCAATTTGGACCACATGCAAAAAATTTCCAAATACAGATATAGTTTATAATTTTTTTGCTTTGAAATATGTTAAATTAATTGCCACTTTACATTTATCATTTAATCACCTTTTAAAACTTTCAACATTTTATGTTTATACAACTTTTCAAATAGGTAAGCATTTCTTTTTTTTTTTTATTTTAAAAGAGAGAGAGAGAGAATTTTTAATGTTTATTTTTTAGTTATCGGTAGACACAACATCTTTGTATGTGGTGCTGAGGATCGAACCCGGGCCGCACGCATGCCAGGCGAGCGCGCTACCGCTTGAGCCACATCCCCAGCCCAAGTAAGCAATTCTTAGACATGGAAATACATCTTCTTTTTCTCTTCTATAATGTTTAATATACTGACATGTATTTGGTGAATAATCAAGATTTTAAATCTTGATTTTTTTTTTTTTACACAAGTCCATTTTTTCTAAAAACAAAATTAAATTATTGTCTTAAAATAATTACTACAAGTTTCTAGGAAATTGTTATTTAAAAGAGAAAAAATGCTTTTAAGGAAATAATCCTGCCAAATCAAATCTTATGGATATTTCAACCATTATGAAAAATGTTGCTTTCATTTTATGAAATTTTAATTACTGACCATTTTATAATGAGCAGTGACCCAGGACATTTTTGTCTTCTCAAAATAGAAATACAGCCTATTTTCATCTAAGTGACTGCAGTACTAAAACTGCCATGCTAAACAAGGTATTTCTTTGACTATTTTGTTTACATAATTTAATTTATGGCTTTTAACAACATTTGGCTCACTAAATATCTACTTTAAAAATAAATTCTGCACAATATGTTGGAGTGTTGAAACTGTTTTTTGTAGTACTTGCAAAGTTTCTGGTCTAATTTCTATGTTTTTTTAAATCATCTTTGAGTTGTTTTTTTGGGCAAAGCAAAAGATAAAGGAACTGAGAAATGAAATTGACCAAATTATGCTGTGTCCATATACCACAGTGAGTTTCACCTTTATATACGTCTATCAAGTACCAATTAAAAAAATAAATGAATAAGTAAAAGGAATACTGGAAGAGTAGGAAAAGGGAAAAGGGAAAGGGGGAGGGGAGGGGGGAGAAGGAGGGGAGGTAAAGAGGAAGTACTAGGGACTGAAGAGGAGCAAATCATATTTCATTCATGTGTGTCAAAATGTGTAACAATAATGCACTAACAAAAACATTTTGTAAAGTGTGAAAACATATATATGATTTATAAAATAGAAATACAATGTAAGATGAACTAAAGAAAACATTTGTTCTCTTTACTGAGCTTTATTTCATGGTATTAAAATATTCAAAATACAGTGGAAATGAAGTAATACTCTTAAACAACCAATATGTCAAAAGGAGAACCAAGAAAACAAAAAATTTGAGAATAACAAAAGGGGAAACACAAAGAAACTAAAACTAAAAGAATACAGTGGAAACAAGCTCAGAGGGGAATTTATAGCTGTGGCTGCCCACAGTGAAAAAGAACCATTATCTAAAATCAGCTGTCTTACTTTATACCTTCTCTACTAGGAAAAAAAATGGAATAAACTAACCCCAACCCTAGCAGAAGTCAGGAAATTAATGAATATCAGAGTGAAGACAAATCAAATTTAGTAATCAAAAAAATAGAAAAACAAAACCAAAAGCTGATCCTTTGAATAAAAAAAGTGGAAAATCTTTATAAGCAGAGTATATATGAAACGTAAAAAAAAAGTCAACAAAACTTTGAAAACAAGAAGCTTTGAGTAACTTCACAAAAAGTAATTTGAGGAAAAAAAATACAAGAGTCCCAAGAACCAATAGATGAAGCAGATAATTTATGCTGTTTTCCCATACTTATAATATATCAAAGAAATATATCATTTCTAATATTTTATTGAAGATTCTGATAGATCATATTTTTTAATTCCAAAATGTCAAAAGACAGATAAAGAAAGGGAGGAAAATGGAGAATGCTAAGCTATTTAAATGTTTCACTTGCCACAAAACAATAGAGACAAAGGTTTATTTTAAGTTTTTACTCACTACAAGTACTTTCCTGTGTGGCTTGGTGAAAAAAGAAAAATTGTTAGTATGTATTTACATCCATTCTTATTTTGCTTTGGTTTTTGTTTTTGTTTGGCTATTTTTGTTTGTTTGTTTTCCGTTTTTGTTTTTGTTTTGATACTAGGTATTGAACCCAGGGGTTTTTGGCCACTGAGCCATGTCTGAAGCCCATTTTTTATTTTTTGTTTTGAGACAGAGTCCCAAGTTGTTTAGGGCCTGAGTTGCTGGGGCTGACTTTGAATTTGTGATCCTTCCTGCCTCAGCCTCCTGAGCTACTGGAATTACAGGCATGTGTCCCTGTACCCAGCTATCATTGTTAATTTTAACTGGGGCTAATCAAAATATTATCTCAGAGAGGTTACAAAGATTTGGGTAGAAAAATGTATTATTCAGATTTCAGAAATAGGAATATTAATTATTCATTCATTCATTCAAGTAGTACCTACAACATACACTGGAGTCTACTGGGGATAGGGGAGGTGAGAAGAAAAAGAAGAAAACTTATCCCTACTCTCAGGAAGTTATATTCAAGTCTGGAGGCAAAAAGATATACAAAGGAATTCGTTATTGCTAAAAAATTGAATATACAAAAGTATCTCTATGGAAACTAGCCTACTAAAGTAAAAATCTAAAAATCTGATGTCTGTAAAACCCTTGCCTCTGTACATATATACAACTTTAAAGTGATCCTTCATGATTTAATATATAGACATGGAAAATCACTAAATCTATGATTTAAAAAAAAATCTAGAATTCAAATCAGAAAATTTTAGAATTAATTTTATTGTAAAGGACTAAGACTTTATTGCCACCTTGTGGCTATGTTGATTATTGCATAAAATTGATTTTTACAGTCATACAGTGAAAACTCTAAAAACTCTTTGTGTTATTTTTATACTTCGTTTAATTTATATATGAAAAAATACACATGAACCCTGGTCTCAAAAACATGCAGAATAGCAGGGTAAACCAACATTAAACTAAAAATAGCACAGATAGCTACATCATTACAATTTTGCTTAGGACTGCGAAGAAGCATGGTGTGCCTTAAGAACTGAACAGAGGGACAATCTAGGCTGGGGAAGCGGGAGAGTCAGGGGAGCCTTCTGGAGAAGTAAATACTGAAGCAGAGATGTGTAGGGTAAACTGGAGTTAGCTAAGCAAAGTGTATGGGTCGGGGAGAGAATTTTCCAGGCAAAAGAAAAAACATGTACAAAGATGAAACAGCACGTTCTAGAATCTTCATGTTGCTTGAACATGGGAATGAGAGTCTCGCTTTGTGGGGAAGGCAGATAATGATCATACAAGCCTTGCAGGTCATGTGAAGGACTTACACCTTTATTTTAAAAGCCCTGAAAGTATTTAAGCAAAAGAATGACATGATCAGGCTCAGTTTCTGAAAGCATGGAGTGGGGAAAAGGAATTGGAATGGTAGAAGATTCAGAATGGGAGTGAGGAGCTAGCTTAGGTAGCTCTACATAAGATAGTCTCTCTTAGATAATAATCCAAAAGTACATATACACGCTTATTTTCAAGAACTAAAGCATAACATAAAGTACAAAGAAAGCAATGTGAACATCATCCCAAATTTCATAACTGGAAATAGTCATCTTCAATAAGATAACATAAGATCTCTAAATACTCAAACTTGACTTTACTTAAATTACTTTTAAAATTTTATTTTCTACTAGGGAAAAAAATCACCTGAGAAAAATTATATCAACCACTGAAAAACAATGTAAATATTATTTATTTAAGAATCTAAGCCGTACTCGCCTGTAATCCTAGCAGCTCAGGAGGCTGAGGCAGGAGGATCTTGAATTCAAAGCCAGCCTCAGCAAAATATAGGCACTAAGAAACTCAAGAGATCCTGTCTAAATAGAATACAAAAAAGGGCTGGGAATGTGGCTCAGTGGTTAAGTGCCCCTGATTAAAAAAAAAAAGTCTTAAGTCATCTAAGGTTTTAGCATTTGATCTTCCTAAAATAGTCAATTTGACTCTGTCAGACAGGTAGTAAAATAAATTCATCAAGCTAGTTAAGATACTCTTTGTATATTATACTTTTTTAATATTTATTTTTTGTAGTTGTAGTTGGACACAAAAACTTTATTTTATTTTATTTATTTATTTTTTAAATATTTATTTATTTATTTTAGTTTTTGGCGGACACAACATCTTTGTTTGTATGTGGTGCTGAGGATCGAACCCGGGCCGCACGCATGCCAGGCGAGCGTGCTACCGCTTGAGCCACATCCCCAGCCCCTATTTTATTTATTTATTTATTTTTATGTGGTGCTGAGGATCGAACCCAGGGCCTTGCACATGCGAGGCAAGCTCTCTACTGCTGAGCCATAACCTCGACCCCTATTATACTTTTTTAGGACATGGAATACTGTTACATGTTTTCTTTTAAGGAGGAACTCTTTCTAGTAGACTGTGATCTTTCTCTTGAGGAGGAATACAAGTTTATGCTCATTTTTATCTCACCCAGTGACCAGGCAGTGTCTGTTACAGATTAAATAACCAACTGATAAAGAATGAAGGTGTGGTCAACATTTACAGTGAGTATATTATGTGCCAGGAATTGTTCTAAGTATTTCACATCAGTGTTTCTTGAAGCCTGGTCCTAGACCAGCAGTCAGAGCATCATCTGAAATTTGTCTTAAGTATAAATTTCCAATCGGAAATCCTCTTGCTCTCATCTGTTCCCTCATTCTTCCAGGTCAGTGTTGAAAAATGTTAATAATAACTGTTGAGTGAAAAGAGGAAATATATGAATGCACTATAAAATCCAATGAAGGGTTTATTGCCTTAAGATTTTCTTTCTGTGGTGTATAAGAGGCCAAGGCAGGTTTGAATAAACAAATTATGGTGCATTTTCTAGAAGGGATTCCACACACCGTAAATCATGATGAACAAGAATAGTTTCTGATGTGCAAATGTTTAAAATACAGTGACAAAAGAAGAAACTGCAGCAATAAACCCGGTATATTAGGACCCAGCCCAGCCCACACACTCCAGAGATCTGGGGCAAGGTCTGAGCCCTGCACACTGCTCTGTGACCTCCCAACTCAGCCAAGTGTGATTGTAGAGATACAGGGGTGTGGTACTGTGTGCCCACCCTGCTGGCTGGGCTTCCAGTGGTGGTTCTCTGACTGCCTGTCCTTTAAAGCACTTAACCCTAGGTGAGGATCACTTTCCTTCATTTGTCTGGTTCAGAGTAGGGTCTGCAGGCCAGGAATGAATGGACAAATGAGTAGATGGTGGTGAGCAAATGAAATATCTAGAATTTGGTCACAAGGAGGATGCTAGTGACGTTGATCAGGCTGTGGGTGCAGCTAGCTATAGGGCAAGGACACTGAGAAGTTCAGAGACTGGCCCCTGAGAGAGTACTCATGGGGCTGGAGAGGACGTAGGATACACAGTTCTTAGGGCTTATACAATGTGTGGTGCAGAAGGTTCGGCAGTCCTGCCTGAAGGTCAGAGGTCAGGGCTCACCAGGCTGGGTACCTAGAAGCATGAACTTCACTGACCTGCAGTGTTAGCTTTCTATAATTCTAACAAACACCAGAAATGATCAAATTATATGGATTAAAGATCTCTTCTACCTGTCAGGTGTGGATATTTTGGTCCATGATCAGTTGACTCCATCACTTTGGCCCTGAAGTATGGAAGTCCATCATGGTAGGCAGCACATGGTAGAGAGGATCTGCCCACCTCATGGCAGGTACAGGAAAGAGGTAAAGAGAGAGAAATGGGGACTCCATAATCCCCTTGAAGAGCACACCATCTATGACTGGAGACCTTCCACAAGCCCCAGATCTTAAAGGTTTCACCATCTCAACACTGCCATAAGATCAGACTGCAAATCAGTGACCCTTCTGCCTGCACTCCCTGCTCAACTTCCAGCTAAAGAACTTGAG